ATATATACATATATAGTAATATAGACACACACACTAATGTTTTAAATTTATACATGAAAAGATGAAGTACACTTTTAAAAAATAACAATGATGCTACTTTTGATTAGGGGTGTGCATTGTTTGGTCAAAATAAAAAAAATCGAACCAAACCGAATAGATCAAGTTTGGTTGGTTCGGTTCGTTTCAAAAATGAACTTCGATTTTTTGTTTTTAAAACATTAATATTTGATTTTCGATTTTCGGTTTGAATTTAATTTTCTTTCAACCAAATAAACTGAAAAATTGAAAATTGATTAAATTTTTTATTATATGTTAATTTCATACTGAAAAAAAGAAATTATTATATTTAATATTTGATTCAAATAAATAGAAAATTTGTGAAATTAAGTTGATATTTTGTAGATAAATTATGTAATTTACAATGTTTGTTCTTAATTAAATTATAATAAATAATTAAAATTTAATTTATTTATAACTGAATTATTTAAATCGAACTAAATTTCGATTCAATCGGTTAGGTTTTATTAGATTGGCTTGTTATTTGAATTCTGAATTGCAGTTGCAATCAATTGAGCCTAATTTTAACTTCGATCCATTAGAACAGACCGACTGATCATCCCTACCTTTGATGTGATGTGAAAACGTGGTTGATTCGATGCAAGCCGTATCGCTTTCCCTCACCTTGCTGCTGCATGCCCGCGAGTCGATTGTGGAGTCTCTTTTTTGCCCTAATGTCGTTTGATCTTTATTAGTCGCACAAGTCTCGTCCGCTTCCTCGCTCGCTTCGGCTCCCTATTTTCCTCTTCGTCTTCATTGCTTCGCCTCGTCCCCCCGTTTCCTTTTGTTCTTCACTTTTATCCGTCTCTTCCGTGTTAATCAGTACGGGTCCCGACTACTAAACAAGTAAATTCTTCCTTTTTTTTACAAGGCAGGTCAAATCTTTCGAATAAGAAAAGCAATGCCGTTAGAAAACCTTTTCATCGTTAGTGTCCTGGTTTTGTAAAAATCATAATTTGGGTGCATAAATACATAAGAATTGGGTGCTATCTGCGCATGTAATTTTCTGAATAGATAAATGATAATTTATCCATGAAATTTTTTTCATTGGCATATGAAAGTATCGTGGTTGAATCGAGCTCGTCTGTAAAAGTCGTTGAATGGAGACATTGATCCAGCTTATTTCTAAGAAGGCAATGTAAATCTATCTGTACAGAGCTAGCAAGTCGAGGAGATCAACTTGGCCAACCAGAACATTTGTCTTTTGTTCTCTTATTTAAAGACACCACCCGACACTCGTGATTCAATCACATTGGGGATGGCCGTCGGCAGTATTTGACATTAGCTAACAATGCTTCATAATTTCGCGGTTTTTGAATATCCTATGCTGATTATTTAATACTTTTTTCTATCCCAAAGAGCACATGCATTCGGAGTCTAATGATGATCACTTGTCAAATGGACTCCACCATTTTTAATACCAACAAATACTAATGTATTACGGTGACAATTAGACTCCTAAAGCAAACTGTAGACAGAAATCCTGAGGAGGGGACACTCTCGAGAAGGATCTCTCTTTCTCTCTATTCTTGCCCCGTTATTTCCCTTTCCTGGAGAATCCCTGGTCTTCTTGGAGAGAATTCTTTGTCTTTTGCTATCTAGTTCTTTCTCTAAAAAACTATGTTATTTGAGACATTTTCCATCTCACTCTATCCTTACATCACTCTTGCTACAGTATTCAGTTTTTGGCAAGGTTATATGTATCCACAAATAATACAGTTCGTTACGTCCTAAAAGAATTCAACAGATAAAAATATGATTTCTTGTGAATTTCTTTTTGTCAAGCTATAAACTCAAACCACAATAACTCAGCCTGACTCGAGCTATAAACTCAACATACATGCATACCAAATCAGAAAACTTGAGCAACATCTTTGTACGCTAGCCATTCGGATCCAATTTCACTTTCAAAACCATGTTTTTTGTATTGTTCTTTCAACACAGTCTTCTTATTTTTCTCGATTTTCATTTTGGACTAAGGGATACCAGTCTGTCTTCTCAAGATTTGCTCTTCTTCACCCTTTTTTCTTCCATATGATATTATAAAAAAACTCACATTTTTCCCATTGTTTGTACTGATGTCCCAGGCAAATTGCGTTCTACACCGGTCCTACAGGTATTTAACGTCTCTTATTTTCTCTTAGCACTCATATTTCAAATACTTGCACCTACTGTAAAGATAAAGGTATTTTGGCTAATCTGGATTAGTTTTACTGAACAAAAGTTGTGTTACTGCCCCAGTTGGTGGCCTCCTGAATGCTACATGCGGTAATGCAACAGAACTTATTATAGCTCTGTTTGCACTGCACAAGGGCAAGATCGAAGTGGTCAAGTGCTCCCTTATTGGGTCAGTCCTCTCCAATTTGCTACTTGTTCTTGGTTCCTCCCTCTTCTGTGGTGGCATTGTTAATCTCCGTAAGGAGCAAACATTTGACCGGGTATATAGAGAACCCTACCTAATAAAACTTCATTTTTTTTCCTTCAAAATGAAGAACCTATTTTTCAAGTCTTCATATTTCTTCTTCTTCTTTTTCTCCAGAAACAAGCTAACGTAAACACAAGCCTCCTGATGCTGGGAGGCCTTTGTCACATTCTTCCACTGTTGTTCAGATATGCTGTAAATTCCAGCGATCAAATTGTATCCACTGCCCCTACTCTGGCATTGTCAAGGGTATGCAGCATTGTGATGTTAGCCACCTATGTGGCTTACCTTTTCTTCCAACTGAAGACGCATCGCCAGCTATTTGAATCACCGGAGGTAGAAAACCAGTTTAGTTAATGGACAAAAGCTTGGTAGCTTTTATAGTTGAGCTTAATGTCTCTTCTAATTGATTAAATATATATTTGCAACTTCATGATTCATCTTGTCAAGTGAATCAATTTCAAATTTTTAACTTCTAGGAGGATGACAGTGATGATTTGGTCTCTGAAAATGAGAGAGTCATGGGATTTCCTAGTGCATTTGCTTGGTTGGTGAGCATGACAATTGTCATTGCAATACTTTCAGAATACGTTGTTGGCACGATTGAGGTATGCTATTATTTTTGCTTCAAAATTTCGAACTCACTATGTCAGCTTCCTTATTTCTATCATAAATTGTTGGAGTATTTACATACATACCATACAATTGTTATGTATTTACATATCGTACACTTAAACTTCAATTTTTACTTGCATGCCACCATACCTATGCATGAAAATGTGTATTTCACTTTTAAAAATAAAAATAGTGGCATTTTTGATGTGATATGAAAGATTTGGTTGGTATAAATGTAAAAATTAAATTTTAGGTGTTGGATATGTAAACATAAGAATTGAGTGATATGTATGTAAATGCCTTAAATTGTATAAATGTTGCGTAGAAATAGAGTGGCTTCTTCTGCTTCTAGTTTGGGATGAAAAAAAAAATCCTCCTCTTCGAAGACCAAGCAAATGGAAACTCCATTACAATACATTAATGCATTTAACCTAGTAGAAAAAGAGCTAATATCTCACATGCAAATATGATATAAAATAATAAAGGTAATAATAGAGGCAAGGAAATAAAGAAGTTTATCATACAATCAACATAACCCAACATAGCCTTCATCCATAGCGGAACAAGGCACAAATAAGTCTGCTACCAATTTATTGGTATAAATCAAGAAGATTTACCAGATTGATCCATTTCTATTCTCACAAAACTTACAAGGGATCTAGATCTCATCAAATTCTTGAAGAAATTCTTCCCACCAAATCTCCTAGTATAAGAGAACTAAACCTGCCACTGACAATTTGATTTGCCCTTTTTGCTTGAATGCTTACAATTACTTTTTTCTCTCCTTCAGATGGTGTAACAAAACTCACAACTCTTCAACCTAATACAATAATCAGTAGAATAACTTGTCCAAGTGTTACAACTTCTTTCAATTTTTATAACTCATCCAAACTTAGGATAAGAATAGGGGGAAATAAGAATTAAGGCTTTTGATGATTACAAGTCTGTCCCTCTTATTTGATATAATACCAGTAATTCATCCTTGTATCAATTCCCCTACATCAATAAGAACAAAGTGGATGATTAAGCTTGCTGAAATCACCAAAACTTCATTGAAATCCACATTTTTTTTTGTTGTATCCTTCTGCAGTTAATCTTGCTTTATATCGGATGCTATCTTTACCCTAGGTTCCCTTTTTGTCTTTCAAGATTTATTTTGTAGCAAACAATCCTTTTTTTCGTTTTTTCTTAGAGTTGAACCAGAATTTAAGTCTCATTCTTCTATTAAGGCTCCTAACTCCTCTTCAATTTATAACTTTCTCATAACTTACTTTCTTTTCTTAAAAATAAAATATATTTTTTTTAAATGCTCTTTCTTCTTACAATAAAAATAAACGATATCCTTAAATTTATTTTGAGATTTATTCCTATCCTAATTAGAAGAGAACACTTGCACGTAGAATCTTACTTTAACTTCAAATAAAGCTTCAGCTAATTTATTGCTTCCTGTCGGCACTAAAAATTTGTTTTGTGGAGGTCGCCCGTAAGAAGCTGTCGGTCGCCGGAATGAAAATCCCGTCGCCCGTTTCGGAAGGACATTTAATTTAAAT